AGCCTTACATTTCACCTGATGTTTTCTTTTGAGAAAATAACAGTCACCCTGCTTAATTCAATGAGAAAAATATTTAATAATTGATGAGGATTTGTTGAGTTGAAAATTGTAAACAAGACAATATTTCAATACAGCAGCTCTAAAATAACTAAACAGACATTCTCCGTTGTATTTATTTGCCCTTTCTCTAGCACCTATCATCTTAATACTTAGGCATAAAAGTACCAGGCATAATGTGAGGATGAAAATATTATGATCCCATCTAATTTTTTTCTCTCAGTGAATTAAAAATCAAACAGTGTTCAGCCATACATACATTTTCCCTTCTTACTGTGCTTAGTTCTTGCAACTAAAAAATGCCTTGTGGACTCCATATACACAGTAATTGACATGAAATACAAAAATGTGACACTAAACTTTAATTTTAAACTGACTCAGTGGGATAAATACAAATATACAATTATAGAGTAATGGTAGTTAATAGCCAAGCTTCATGGCCTAGTTTCATTCTCATGTTTGAAGAAACTTGTTCTTGTCATAATCTTTGATAACCAGTGGAAGTCCTGAGACCCACAGTCATCTGTTGGGTCTGGTAAGGTCATCAAGTTCTTTCATGCCAACAAGTGACATAAGAAAATGGTTTCCATGATAACTATTGTTGATGAACTGTACAAAATCCTTGTAACTGTAGTTTTGAAGATAAAGCCATCTGAAAGCATCAGATGCCTCATGTTCCTCATTTATGTAATGGGAATTCATTCATTCACAAATATTTGTTGAGTGCCTACTATATGCTAGGCACTTTTCTACACAAAGGGCTGCAGCAGTCAACAGAATGGAAAAATTCTCTGCTCTTGTGGAATTCCTACTTTAATGGAAGTGGGCTGCAGACACAGACAGACTGCATGTAGTAACAATATAGTATACAGATGCTTCTCAACTCACAGTGGGATTATGTCTCAGTAAATCAATAGTAAATTGAAAATATTGTAAGTCAAAAATGCACCTAACTTACCTTAAACTTGCTCAGAACACTTAACATTAGCTTACTGTTGGCAAAAATCACCTACCACAAAGCCTGTCTTAAAGTGTTGAATATCTCATGTCATTTACTGAATGTGAAAAACAGAATGGTTGTAAGAAGACTCAAAGTATGGTTTCTACTGAATGCATATCCTTTCACAGCTTCCTATAGTCAAAAAATTACAGGTTGGACCACAGTAAATTGGGCACCATCTGTATTAGATGGTGATAAACACTATATAAAGATAAAAGGGAAGGAGGACCAGGAGTGCTTGTGGGTATTGCAACTTGCAATAAGTTGGCAAGGCTCACCCTGAGGATACGAAAACAATAGTACAGCTTCATAGGATTCCATGAAGAATAAGTAAATTATTATACACAAAATGCTTTGGACAGTGCGTGGCACATAGAAAATGCTTAATAAATGTTGGCTTAAAAATAGGAGTGCCATTTAAGGGGGTTTTAAGAAAAGTTTTTATTTGATATACAGTGACATTTCTTTATTTGCTATGACCATTTTTATCCGGAATTGAGAATGAAATTGTATTTGAATTCCATATAAAAAGCTCATAAAGCTAATTTGTGAACTGGATAAAATTTTAAAACCAAGAAACCCAACTCACCATGCTTCATGGATTAATTATCTACAATCTGTCTCTGTCTTGATAGAAAGAGAGAGAGAAAGACAGAGAGGGAGAAAGAGAAGGCAGAAGAAGGAGGAGGAGGAGGAGGAAGAGAAAGGGGTGTAGGGAGGGAGGAATCAAAAGAAAGGAAGGAAGGGAAGTTCTTTATTAAGAATTGATTTTAAGTTTAAAGTTGTAGTAGGTAATGATTTGTTTTAACTTTAAATGTATTCTAACTTGGAAGAATACACAGAGATGATTTATTTTAACTTTATATGTATTCTAACTTGGAAGCTGGGTCAGTTAAAAGAGATGCATGACAAATCTAGTCAAATACTAATCTTTACAAATTAAATTAACCGAGTACATATATTTTATTGAACTAAAGTATAAAAAATGTATATATTCCTTTAAATTATTTTTCTTGACAAATAGGACAAACGGCTTTATTGTTCTGGTAGGCAACTATATTTACAGATATCATAGCGTACCCACAATATCCTATGCCTTTTGGAAGTTACTTTCATTCTTCCTCCGAAAAGACTTGAGGAGTTTCTGTGTGTTGAATGCCAAGTTAGGCACTGATGATAATTGAGAAGTGGTCTGACACAATTCTTGTCAAGCCTTGTAGAGCTTACAGTCTTGTAAGGGAAGGTATGGAAGACCTCATTAGTTGTCCACATCCTTGAAAAGAAGGTGCCAAACCCAGTTGTCCTGGGGATGAAACTGATGACACGGAGAAATATTGAGCAACCTGTCTAAGGTCACACAATCAAGTGGCAAAACCAGGAATCAGTTTATCCTTCTGGCTCTGGGCATTAGCTCATGCATTGCTGCTTCACTCTCATTTGAATGTGAAATGCAAAAACATCTTATATTTTGTGAGACACACATTTACCTTTCTAATAGTGATTTGCTTATCCAACTTTTAAAAATTAATGTTCATTTCTCAGAGACATGTAAATTCATGGAGTGGAAGGATAAGCCATAACCAGACTATGTAACACAGTGAAGCTAAACTGAGATTCACACTATGCCTCGGGTAAATCACACATGGATTCATTTAAAATGGACTATGTTATGGTTTGTGTACTTTAATAACATATTGACTGTATTGTACAGAAAAAATGTTATATATATACGTTAAGAAACATCAATCTTTTTTTTGTAGTTTATGAGTTCAGATCTTATGTCTCAATTTATTATATTTGAAAATGCAGATTATTACTTTACAGCTCTAATGTTTATAACCTCAAAACTTGCAAATGTGATTTTTTAAAACAAACTTGCTGTGAATTTTCATTCTGGCATTAAAAAATTGAACATCTTTAATTTAATACAATAGAATGCAGTCTGATTTTAATAAAACATAAAGAGGAATATAATTGATTGAATGATTTTTAAATGATACATATGAAAGATAAAATGGAATTAGGTAAAAATGCTCCAAATCGAATATATTTATGTAAAAACTTCAACTTAAAAGAAAGTTGCTTGAGGAATGTTGCCAGAATTAATGTTCAAAAGGTATTTATTGACACATTACAGAATTTTGTTATTTTCAATATGTGCACCCAAATGGAAACTCAAGTTTTCTGCTAAATCATGTTTAATGTATGTCATTCTAACTTTATATATTGGAGTTATTTCACGATTCAAGAAGCATTCATTAATCACCTACTATACGCAAAACAGTGTGAAGGTAAAAGAAAGGCTAAATAGGTGATTAAAGCATAGCTCTTGTTCTGAAAGGTGTAATAAGTGTGCATGTAATAGGTGGGCCAACAATACTTCATGGAAATAGAAACGTGTGAGAACCTGAAGAATAAATGAGGGAATCAATATTTATTGGATGCTTACTTGGGCGAATATATCTCCCATTGGCTCCGGTAAGCAGCTAATAAATGTTAATCCTTCAATGTGAAGGAAATATTATTTAAGTAGGTGGAAAAACAGAGAATCAGAAAAAAGGTGAAAAACCAGCTAGTCAGCACCTGAAGCACTCTTTCAGTTATACTATAAAAAGCTCCAAAAAGGGAAAGCAACTTTTTGGCGAGAGGATGGATATGCATACATGTATGCAGAGTATCCAAGACTCCTTTTTAGAAGATTCCAGAGAAGACAGAGGAAGATCATCGCAAGGTATGTGCATCAACTGGAGGGGAAAGTATGAGGTATGAAAATGGAAGTGGGGCCCTTACAAGTCTTGGTATTGTATTGTTACTAATTGGTGCCAACTTGGGTTTGTCAAGATAGATATAATTAGTGGATTTGATGCAGAGCTCAGAGCTGGGCAGCGGACATGATAGTGGAGGTGAGGCTGGAAAACACCTGAACAAAAGTGACTGGAAGAACATGGAAAAGAAGACATGTTTGAAGATGTGATGAAGATATTTAAACTAGAAGGATCGAAAACTGTATTGATTGCAACAAAACCAAGTTATGAAACGGCATTCTCCCCCTAATTTGTAGACAGCTCATCCCACAAATCAAAACATGGTGTTTACCAAGTAATCACATAATATCACCAGCTGTTTGCAGTTATAGTAAGGCTTTTACATGTCTTTCTCACTTTCTCATACTTGAACGGGAAAATTCCCCTCTGCTGCACATTATTGCTGAGATATCGCACATGAAAAATATAGGCACTGAAAACCTCACAGTACATGTTCACTTTGGGCCTCAGGAAAAAAAATCAAGATTGTATTTTAAAATTTGTTCAGAGTTCTGGAAATCAGCTTTATTTTTATTTCTAGTTAAACAGAATCTTTCAACATAGCTTTTACTTCTGAAATGGACTTCATTCCTATCCTCTTCCTTGAAATTATATCAGTGCTAAATCATCTATGGTTTCACTAATCCAAAGCCTTATGATCGTTAAATGTACACAGATACTGAACAGAGTTTTTACCTTAGAAAAATCTGGGTGTGGTACAGGTAATGCTCTTAATACTGTAAAAGATTTTTCTAACCACTAATTTTCAAAGACAGTATCACCACTGGTTGAGTATAAGATCTGACAAAAAGTTTATGGGCAGGTAACGTTTACTTTTATAGTAACAACATTATTTCTAGTTGTAAATTTTTCTGTTGTTTCAATTAGATATTTTAACTGCTTTGAGGGTGTTTGGTTGTGCTTTTTCGGACAATGTGTCAGGTAAAGGAAATCCAATGCATGTGTTACGTGTAAGAAATTCAGGGCTGGGTGCGGTGACTTACACCTGTAATCCCAGCACTTTGGAATGCCAAGGTGGATCACCTGGGGTCAGGAGTTCAAGACCAGCCTGGCCAACATCTCCAAACCCCGTCTCTACTAAAAATACAAAAAAATTAGCCAGTGTTGGTGGCGCGTACCTGTAATTCCAGCTACTCGGAAGGTGGAGACAGGAGAATTACTTGAACCGGGGAGGAGGAGGTTGCGGTGAGCTCAGATCTTGCCACTGGACTCCAGCCTGGGTGACAGAACAAGGCTCTGTCAAAAAAAAAAAAATTCAGAATATGAAACTTAACCTTCTTTGTTTATAATTCATTCTTCTTTTGGTTATCTAAGACTAAGTAAATGAAGTTTTTATATAGAGTTAGGGAAATAGGTTACCACTTTTTACCAAAATCATCTTGGTTTTAAACAGAATTCAGGCCATATATAGTATTGGATTTGACAGATACTTTCAAGCCCCAGATTCTACAACTGCACTTTCTTCCCACACATTCTTTTACATGGTCCTCCTGAATTGAGGATTGAAATAATTTTGCCATCTTTATATTTTCTGCAAACACAGAAGTAGAGAGGAGAAAGGTCTAAACATTAAGTTAAAAATGCGCACCTTTGCGGAGGTAGTGTACTTTTCCTATCTTCTTCCCTTCTGTTTACACCTTAGTTTTCTTTAAATCCAAGTTCTATACAGAGATAGAATTACATGAACTGAGTTAGAAACGCATGCCTATGTGTATACATACACACACACACACACACAAACACCTCTAGTGATCTCGCTCCAGTTATCATCCATGCTTTTTATTCTTTCAATGTTTTTGCTCTTCTACACCCACCCCCAGTCCACACAACGAAGTGATTCTCTTTTCTAAGCCCGTTTTTCTCTTCTTTATCCTTTCCCTTTTCATAACTAGGGAGATGGCTTAATGTAATATTTCTACTCCATATCTGTCAACAATTTTAAAATCTGCAACATTTTTTCCCAATGCTTGATGTACTTTTCCTTTTAACCACATAGGCTCACCAGACGCTAGAAACTAACCTTGACCTACCCCTAGTTTCCTTAGCCCTCTGGAATGGTTTCTTGTAGTTTATTTTCTGTCTTTCGCCACTCTCCTAACAGGCCCGTGGCTGTTGCCATAGGAAGGGAGTGCAGTTTGCTTTTCCACGTGCAGAAGCACTCGCTATGGAATATATTTATGGTCTGTCCGCCACTCAGCTCACTCGAGAAAGAGCTGTTAGTACAAGAACTGCCACGATGACATAATTTCTTACAGCATCCTTCCACCCTTACAGTGAAACTCCCTTCCTTCACACCCTGCCTCTCCCTGCCCCACCTAGAGGGAAACTTCAGTGATTCTAGCAGAGGCAAGTTTCTCGCTGAAATGCTGCGCAGTTGTTGATATTTTACTGCTTTTCAAACTTGTCTTTTCGTGCGGTTTCCATCCGGGTGTTGTGGAGTGTCAAGGGCTGTTTACCCTCTGCCCAGGATCGGATCAGAGAGTGGGAGCAGCGGCTGTGTTCCCCAGAACGGAGACCGCAGCCCGGCGACTGACCCCTCACCCTCCAGTTCCACTGGGCTCCCGATGCCCTCACTGCGCCCGCGCCTTCCCGCCACTAAGGCTACTTCGCTCCAGTAGTGCTCCACAAATTTCAGACATCTGTTCTTGGAAACCTTAAGACCTGGACAGACCCCTCCTCTGCATCCTGCTGTCTTCCTAAGATGCATCTTAGGATGTTGGGACTCCTCCTCTAGGCTGGACCACTCTTCCCATTTTCCTCAGATCCTAGGAGTGGCTGGAGGCAGAGAACGCACCAGGCAGTCGCCGCCTTTGTTGTGATTAGGAACGCACACCGGGCCTGGAGTGGCTGGAAACTGCCACACCGATGGAGAGCCCGGCCAGCCCTAGCTCACATTCGTGCCTTCGCTCTCATTTCCTGTTTATCATTCTCTCCCTTGTTTCTCTTCCCACCCCACTCCACGCCACAGTACAGCAGAGCTTTCTCTGCGCACACAAACTTCCCTTTCCCGGCCTTTCCGCCGTCCTAGCAGTTTCCCACGTGGGGCGGGGCGGGGGGCGAGGGGCAGGGGCGTCTTGCGGTCCCCGGAGCTCCGCGCCCACCTAGGCTGGCCAGGAGCCTCCCACCTCCGCCCGCGGCCGCTTCCGCCCCGTCTGCTCCCCGCCCCCGCCGACCCTCAGGCAAGGCAGTGACCGCGCGCCCTCCGAGCGGCCGCGGGAACTGAAGGGCTGCCTGGCCGCCTCCTCCCTCTCCCGCCCCACAATCCCGCTGATCCGCTCCCCGGGGCGCGGAGGCGGGAAGGGAGGGGCTGCTGGGGAAAGCGTCAAGGACTCGGCTCAGGGCCGCCCGCTTCTCCCGGCTCCGCTTAGAGCACTGGACTCCCTTCCCCGCAGCCCCTGGGCCCCGCGGGGTTCTGTAGCTCCCGCTTCCTCTGCCCCAGTCCTGCAAGTTTGCCTCTTTCTAGAACTGGCGCGGGCAGGGGCCCCTTCTCCTGAGGTGGCGAGGACAAGCGCGCGTCTCGCTCTCGCCCCATTCATCCCGCCAAGGTGAAGCGCAGGGAGAAGGGGCGCCCCAGTCTCGCCCGCAACGTGCGTCGCTCCGGAACCCAAACAATGACTCCCCTGCTGGCCGCCGCTGGCCCTCACCCGCCCCATCGGCGCGCAGAGGGCACCGCCCGCGGGGCTGCCCCGGCCGGACCCCATTGTTGCACGGCGCGGTGGATGCCCAGCGCCCGGGGGCGGTCCCCGCCCGCGGCCCCGCAACCCCAGTCGGCCGCCCGGGCCGGCTCCGCCCACACCTTTCCAAGTTCGCTGGCGGGCGAGCCTCGGGGACGGCCGGGACGCCTGCCCCCTCCCTGCACTGCGCGCCCCCAGCCGGGCGGGAGCGGCGAGGGGCGGGGGCCCGAGCTGGCTGCGAGCCTTCTGGGTCCCCGAATTCTCCTTCTAAGCCTGCTTGGCGCGCTCTAACACAAAAGAGGGGACTTTCTCGCAGCTAGGCGCGAGTCCTCGCCCGGCGAGTTGCCCTCCGGGGGTCCCTCCCGCCGCGAGCCCCCGCGGGCCCCCTCGGCCGGCGGCTCCCCGAGCTCCCAGGGCCATGTGTGGGTTATTTGGGGTGCCCCAAAGAGGTGGTGCAGGTGAAAGGGAAGCTCAGCTGAGGCCCGGGACCAGGGGGCGGGGGCAAGGGTGGGGCGGGGTGGGGCGGGGTGGAGGCGCCAGGGACCCACCCCGCAGTCCGGCGGCCCGGGCGGGGAGGCGAGGGCCGGGCTGTGGGTGTTGCCTTCTACCTCTGCGAGCGGGGAGGGGTTAGTTTCCCACAGGGGATTTCAACCATCACACTCAGAGCCCGCCTCCTAATCCTCGGGCGGAGCGGCTCGGGGGCCCCATTTTATGGCAATAAAGCGACTTAGCGCCTGCTAAGCGAGCCCCTCCCCGCCGCCGCCCCCGCCCTCGGCCCCACCCCGGGGCTCGCCCGCAGCGGCGGGGCTTTGTTTCTGGGGAGAAGGACCCGGAGCTCTTTTGTTTGGGGTTCCTTGTTTTCGCCCCCCCCCCACCCGCAGCTCACCCCACCCCACCCCAAGCGCCTCTCTGGTTTCCTGAGCTGCGGGCTGCGAGGGAGGAGAAGAGGCGTCCTGCAACCCCCTCGGCTGGGCCCCGGGGTAATTCGATGCGGGCCTGGCGAGGCTCCCCACACTAGACCTGGGCTAGCGTCTCGGCAGCCTCCACCCACCGGCCCACCCTACATTTAGCGCATCATGTGATCCGGGTAAGTCATTTGCAAGTACAACAGTTCCCCGGGTTGCCCCCCATTCATTTCCTGAGAACTGCAGAGAGCCGCTGAGAGGCTCTGCGTGTGCGTGTGCGCGGGTGACGCCGTGTGTGTGCGAGTGAGTGTGTGTGTGTGTGCGCGCGCGCGTGTGAGAGAGAAAGGGAGAGAGAGGGGGACTCTGTGTGAGGGAAAGAAAACAATTTCTCCTGCTCTGCAGCTTCTGTTCAGGTCTGTGCCGATTCCGTTTCTTATCAAAATAAACAACCCCCTCCTTTTTTATTTTTATTTTTTTTGCCATCCCAAATCAGACCGTATTCTCTTAACGTGTTTTATTTTCCTTCTGTCATCTGCTCAAGTTAAATCATTTTGGTTGGTCTGTGTTCTTAAAGGGGGAAAGTGCTGGGAAGCGGGAGGGGGCCGGGGAAGGGCGATGCTGTTGCAAAGCAAGTAGCGTCGGTCGGATTCGTGGAGAAGAAAGAAGGAGGTTTCTTCCCCCCCTCCCCTAAAATTTTTTTTTTTTTTAAGAAGAAGTTATCAAGTAACGTGAATTAAGCAAATGTTTTTCTACCCCTAGTGGAATTGTTGGTTGCAGTGTTTGCCTGACAGTTGCCAAGGATGAGAAATAAAACCCCAGGGCTGAACTGGGGAGGGGGGAAGTGCTAGTGGAAGTAGTTGGCCCCTTGGCCTCGAGCGGGGTGGATGAATAGCTGCCGCACCGGGGCCGTGTGGGCTGTGTGTGCGCGCTCGAGATAGTGGAGGGGAAGGGGTTAAGGCGGAGATGACACTGCTGGCATGAATAGTGCTCCTGGTGCTACATTCATTATTGTCTCTGGTCGTAATGATGTGTAACTGTCACTTGCTACAGTGCCTGGTCCATGCTAGTAGCCAGGGGCTGGCCAGTGGCTGTTATTTTCAATTACGGGGGACCTGGTCAGAGTTGACAAGGGGCAACTTTGCACGTCCACCAGGGCCGGGAACCCGCAGAGCCGTCCTGGAAGCCACTTCTTGCGTTAGAACTCACTCTGAGGATTCGGACTTGACCTCCGCGACATTAGTTGGTGTCACGTTAGATGCTCCCCTACGGGGAGAATCAATCCTGCTTTTGTTGGTTAGAGAGCTGCCTGCAAGAACTTTGAAAACTTTTATCTTTGGGGCAAAGGGTGGGGTACACTCAACAGTTTTGTTTCGCAGTGCATTTGAGGCAAATGCTTGGAAAAAGTACCAATTCCTTTGTTATATGCCCTGCAGCTTCCCAACCCCCTTCGCCTTGCGCTTCGAGTTTTGCATACTTTAATAGTATAGTCTTAATTCAGCTGATAAAAGATGACTGTGTTGAGTTGAAGAGTATTAATACAACAGAATGTGTAATCCGAATAAACAGTTTGTGTAGTTAGTATTGTCAGCCCTCTCATTTAACTGTATAGATGGCTTAAGTGTTGTTCTGTGTGGATTGTTTTAAATAATTCCACTGGCTAATGGAATGCTCTGCGAGCACTCGGATATTTTATTTTTCACTAGCGTTAAGATTTTCTCTGTTATCTTGTAACATTAGAGAGACGAGCAACTCTATTTACATTTAGTGCATGTGCATCTAGTGACTTCGCTAGACATCTGCCAATCAAATACACGTCATTCTGCAAAACCACCTAGACGCCTCCATGCCCTTTTCTTACTGGACGATAGAGTTGTTTAGATAAGTAAATGCTTTGACATAAATTTGGTGGCTTTTAGCAAGAGGAAGCTTGTGGTGGGAATAGGAGTGGTCACTTTGAGGAGTGGGTGTATACTGTCTTCTAAGAAATGCTTTTAGAACTGACATTTAATTAAAACAGTGGACCCCACACCCCCCAAGAAAAAAAAAGCTTGCTTGTGCTGTTCTCAGACCTCATTCACATGTTGTGTACATTTTTTAAAACCACATGGAAATTGATTCCGATAAAGGAGTGTACTTTTAGGCTAGAAAATTTTAAACTATAGAAGCATAGTGCAAATAGGATGTTGAAGGACAAACATTTCAATTGCATAAGTTATATCTTTATTGTTGCAGACCTGTCAGTCTCGATACTAGATTGAGTATATTATGCTCCTTTGATCTGAGGAGAGAGCAATTTGAGCATAAAAAAATTAAGAAAGAGGTTTATTATTCTACCAATGACTGTGACGAAATGTACTGGGAGGATTTGAAATTTGAAATGTTTTCAGATCAAATTTTCATAATTTTTGAACTAAGACCGTGTAACCAACATAGCTAGGTCAGGTTAAACAAAACATTCTTGAGGGTTTCTGTTTATTTTTGAAATCCTTCAGTTATTTACTACTTAGTGCAGTCAGCTGAACTTTATTGTGGAATGCTTTTTATTACTATTTATTGAAAAAAATTGTTGTGTCAATGAGTCCTTAATAGTCCCCATCTCCCCAACCCCCCACCCAAGTTCTTTTTTCAGAAATGAATGTCATTTGGGAGGAAATGGTCCTGGTATAGCATTTGAGACCTTGACCTTAGCAACTCTTGGCTGGTGGTTGTTTACTACAGCTGCAGCCTATGTGTGTGCTGAAAGGGAAGGTCTGCAAACACTAGTGCACTCACTCTTCCCAGGCCAAGGGGAGAACAAATCGGGATGCTTGACTTTCATTCTGAAGAGCATGCATCTGGTCTATAATATCCATCGTGTTATGATCATATGAAATATACATGTTGCTCAGGGATATTTTCCCTGCCTCCTGTGCAGGGAAATTATGCACTTTAACAAGCTCCAGTGAGTTTTAGATGTTACAGTATATCATGAAGCAGGCTTTTATCAACCTAGTGAAATAATTTGGCCTTAAATATAGGTGTGTTTTAATTCGGCAGAGACAACGTCAAGTGCTTAGGCCTCTAGGTGTGTGCTGAGAGCATTTTGAATTCGAGCCAGTGTTAGTTAATCTAGAGTTTGGAGTAACCTTGCCCAGTGAAGGGATGTTGTTAAGTAGATGAACGTGTAAAGGTCCTGGACATTTTTTCCATCATACAACATGGAAAGCATGGAACTTTATATTTTTGCAAATTAATAATATTACAATGATCACATTAAATTGGAGTGTTTATATTGTGAGAAAAACAGTCAAATTCATAAATCTAGCTGTAGATTGTATATTAAAGTATAAAACTAGTAATGGCACAAACTTATTTGAAGAGTTTTTAAATAAGTTGTTCGACTTGCTGCTTGAATGTTGATTAATGAACATGAGCTAAAATCCCAAGACAGTTTTATTCAAAATTAAGACCATCATTACCTTTTCTGTTTAGAGACAGATTTTTTTTTTTTTTTTTTGGAGATGGGGTCTCACTCTGTCACTCAGACAGGACTGCAGTGGCATAATTGTAGCTCAAATTCCTGGGCTCAAGGGATCCTCCTGCCTTAGCCTCCCAAGTACGCAGGAAGGGTCTCACTGTGTTGTCCAGCCTGTCTCTTGAATTCCTGGTCTCAAGCAAACCTCCCGCCAAAGTGCTGGGATTGTAGGCATCAGCCACTAACTGCACTGACTACAACTTTAATTTTTAAAATAAGTCCTGAAATAGGTTGTAGTTGCTTATCTGTCATTTTCTACTTGAAAATACTAGATGATCATAGACTGGAAATAGCTTATATTTTTGTCCAGTATTTACTTTTCCTTTCCAACTCAAACTTATTTGTTTTTCAGCATGCAGTTTATACACAGCTTTCAACTTTTAGTTTACAAAATGTAAGGGTAAAAATATTAAAATTAAATCACAGGCAACGCCCTATAACCACAGCCTTAACTCATCTACCACAATCACTCCTCCCAAAAGCAAGCAAGTAAACAGATGGGCCTTGCCCTATGCCCAGAAGGTCAACAGTCTTAGGCTTTGTTAGACCTGCTTAGTTTCTGAATCCCAAGCCCAGCCCTGAGAACTGTCTGACTTCCACCGGCCAGAATTCACTTTTGGGGCCTAAGTCAGCCACACCCCATCTGATGTCAGCTATTGAGTTCTTGTGGTAGAGAACACATGCTGTGGATTAAATGGTTACTTTCTGTCTATATTGTCAGTAATTATGTTACAAAAGGATTTTTCCGTTTTGGGTGTTTATTGTCATAAAGTGGCTACTTGAGTAGTCTTATTGCTCCATAAAAATTGGTTTTGGTTGGCAGTAGATTACAGGATACTCACCCAAAGAATTCTGGTCTAGTATGAGCAGAATTTCGTTTTTCCTGTCTTTTTATTTTTTCCAGCTTAAAGTCATGCTTTTCTTTTGTTGCTACTCTCATGGTCTACATTTTTGAATATTTATTAGTGTAATAGTTAGACTGGTCTAAACAGATTTGCTATCTGGTGCAGAAGTAGCAGCAAGAAACCCTTATTGCTGTATTGCTGAATGGAAGGTGAGAGGGGAATACATTAGGAGACCTTTAGGATAGTTTTCCCACCCCGGTCAAAGACTACAGAAGCTACCATGATAGCTACCTGCTGCCTTTGACAGTCATGAATTGTGTCCTAAGTGTGATGTTCACTATGCTTTTCAGTCTATAGGGCCTTTCACAGTAATTCCTGGCATGATGTGTATGTATACAGTTGGCCCTCTTTATTCATCAGTTTTGCACTAATTGAGTCAACTAATGGCAGATTGAAATCATTCAAGAAAAAAATCTACAACAATACAGATGATACAAATAAAAAAATCATAACAACTATTTATATAGCATTTATATTGTCTAAGAGATTGTAAGTAACCTAGAGATGATTTAGAATATATAGGAGGATGTGCACAGGTTATATGCAAATACTGCATCATTTTTATAACAGAATTGAGCATCCATGGATTTTGGTATCAGCTGGGGTTTGGGATCCTGGAGTTATTCCTCCAAGGATACTGAAGAATGACTATATATATTGTGTGTGTATATATATATATATATATATATATTGATCACCTTATATATCTATATGTGTATGTATATATTTTGTATTTATCTTTATGTGTTTTTATGTGTGTTTT